CACCACACAGACACCCACAGACCCACCACACAGAGACCCACAGACTCACCACACAGAGACCCACAGACTTACCACACAGAGACCCACAAACACACCACACAGAGACCCACAGACTCACCACACAGAGACCCACAGACTCACCACACAGAGACCCACAGACTCACCACACAGAGACCCACAGACTCACCACACAGAGACTCACAGTCTCACCACACAGAGACCCACAGACTCACCACACAGAGACCCACAGACTCACCACACAGAGACCCACAGACTCACCACACAGAGACCCATTTGGCCTTCCTTCAACGCTGCCCCCTGATTGGCTCCCCCCCCGCAGAGGACCCGGACCGAGGCGTGGACCAATCGGACGGCGGCAGCGATGCCCGCCCGGTCTCCCCCGGCAACGAGCAGAGCGATGCTGCACGGCAGGCCCAGGCCCGGGTCCGTCTGCCCACCTCCTCCGACATGATCTATGGATTCGCCTGCCTCAAAGGTGACGATGGTAGCGGGGGGCAGGGGAGGGCGGTTTGGGGAGGTTTGGGGCAGTTTTGGGGGGTTTTGGGTGACTTGGGGCAGTTTAGAGTGGTTTGGGGCAGTTTGGGGGGGTTTGGGGTGGTTTTGGGCGGTTTGAGGGCGGTTTGGGGCGGTTTGAGGCGGTTTCGGGAGGTTTGGGGAGGTTTTTGGTTTGCGGGCAGTTTGTTGACATTTTTGTGGAAGTTTGTGGTCAGTTTGGTGGTCACTTTGTAATCAGATTGTGGTCAGTTTGTGGGTCCCTGAGGTGGTCAGTTTGTGGTCAGTTTATGGTTAGTTTGGTGGTCAGTTTGGTGGTCACTTTGGTGGTCAGATTGGTGGTCAGTTTGTGGTCAGTTTGTGGTCAGTTTGGTGGTCAGTTTGTGGTCAGTTTGTGGTCAGTTTGGTGGTCACTTTGGTGGTCAGTTTGGTGGTCAGTTTGTGGTCAGTTTGGTGGTCAGTTTGTGGTCAGTTTGGTGGTCAGTTTGGTGGTCAGTTTGGTGGTCAGTTTGGTGGTCAGTTTGGAGGTCAGTTTGATGGTCAGTTTGGTGGTCAGTTTGGTGGTCACTTTGGTGGTCAGTTTGTGGTCAGTTTGGTGGTCAGTTTGTGGTCAGTTTGTGGTCAGTTTGGTGGTCACTTTGGTGGTCAGTTTGTGGTCAGTTTGGTGGTCAGTTTGTGGTCAGTTTGGTGGTCAGTTTGTGGTCAGTTTGGTGGTCAGTTTGGTGGTCAGTTTGTGGTCAGTTTGGTGGTCAGTTTGGTGGTCAGTTTGGTGGTCAGTTTGGTGGTCAGTTTGGAGGTCAGTTTGGTGGTCAGTTTGGTGGTCAGTTTGGTGGTCAGTTTGGTGGTCAGTTTGTGGTCAGTTTGGAGGTCAGTTTGGTGGTCAGTTTGTGGTCAGTTTGGTGGTCAGTTTGTGGTCAGTTTGTGGTCAGTTTGGTGGTCAGTTTGGAGGTCAGTTTGTGGCCCGCTTTGGTGGTCACTTTTTGGTCACTTTGTGGTCAGTTTGGTGGTCACTTTGTGGTCAGTTTGGTGGTCAGTTTGTGGTCAGTTTGTGGTCAGTTTTTGGTCAGTTTGTGGTCAGTTTTTGGTCAGTTTGGAGGTCACGTTGTGATCAGTTTGTGGTCAGTTTGGTGGTCAGTTTGGTGGTCAGTTTGGTGGTCAGTTTGTGGTCAGTTTGGTGGTCACTTTGGTGGTCAGTTTGGTGGTCAGTTTGTGGTCAGTTTGGTGGTCAGTTTGTGGTCAGTTTGGTGGTCACTTTGTGGCCCGCTTTGGTGGTCAGTTTGTGGGTCAGTTTGGTGGTCACTTTGTGGTCACTTTGTGGTCAGATTGGTGGTCACTTTGTGGTCAGTTTGTGGTCAGTTTGGTGGTCAGTTTGTGGTCAGTTTGTGGTCAGTTTGGTGGTCACTTTGGTGGTCAGTTTGTGGTCAGTTTGGTGGTCAGTTTGTGGTCAGTTTGGTGGTCAGTTTGTGGTCAGTTTGGTGGTCAGTTTGGTGGTCAGTTTGTGGTCAGTTTGGTGGTCAGTTTGGTGGTCAGTTTGGTGGTCAGTTTGGAGGTCAGTTTGGTGGTCAGTTTGGTGGTCAGTTTGGTGGTCAGTTTGGTGGTCAGTTTGTGGTCAGTTTGGAGGTCAGTTTGGTGGTCAGTTTGTGGTCAGTTTGGTGGTCAGTTTGTGGTCAGTTTGTGGTCAGTTTGGTGGTCAGTTTGGAGGTCAGTTTGTGGCCCGCTTTGGTGGTCACTTTTTGGTCACTTTGTGGTCAGTTTGGTGGTCACTTTGTGGTCAGTTTGGTGGTCAGTTTGTGGTCAGTTTGTGGTCAGTTTTTGGTCAGTTTGTGGTCAGTTTTTGGTCAGTTTGGAGGTCACGTTGTGATCAGTTTGTGGTCAGTTTGGTGGTCAGTTTGGTGGTCAGTTTGGTGGTCAGTTTGTGGTCAGTTTGGTGGTCACGTTGTGGTCAGTTTGGTGGTCAGTTTGTGGTCAGTTTGGTGGTCACGTTGTGATCAGTTTGGTGGTCACTTTGTGGCCCGCTTTGGTGGTCAGTTTGTGGGTCAGTTTGGTGGTCACTTTGTGGTCACTTTGTGGTCAGATTGGTGGTCACTTTGTGGTCAGTTTGTGGTCAGTTTGATGGTCACGTTGCGGTCAGTTTGGTGGTCAGTTTGGTGGTCAGTTTGGTGGTCAGTTTGTGGTCACTTTGTGGTCAGTTTATGGTCAGTTTGGTGGTCACTTTGTGGTCATTTTGTGGGTCACTTTTTGGTCATTTTGTGGCCTGTATTGGTGGTCAGTTTGGTGATCACTTTGTGGTCAGTTTGTGGTCAGTTTGTAGTCAGTTTGATGGTCACTTTGTGGACAGTTTGGTGGTCACTTTGGTGGTCAGTTTGTGGTCAGTTTGTGGTCAGTAAGGTGGTCAGGTTGTGGGTCCCTGAGGTAGTCAGTTTGGTGGTCAGTTTGTGGTCATTTTGGTGGTCACTTTGTGGTCAGTTTGTGGGTCACTTTTTGGTCATTTTGTGGGTCACTTTGGTGGTCACTTTGTGGTCAGTTTGTGGTGAGTTTGGTGGTCAGTTTGTGGTGAGTTTGGTGGTCAGTTTGTGGTGAGTTTGGTGGTCAGGTTGGTGGTCACTTTGTGGTCACTTTTTGGTCATTTTGTGGCCCGCTTTGGTGGTCACTTTGTGGTCAGTTTGGTGGTCAGTTTGATGGTCAGTTTGTGGGTCCCTGAGGTAGTCAGTTTGGTGGTCATTTTGGTGGTCAGTTTGTGGTCAGTTTGTGGGTCACGTTGTGGTCAGTTTGTGGTCAGTTTGGAGGTCACGTTGTGGTCAGTTTGTGGTCAGTTTGGTGGTCAGTTTGTGGCCAGTTTGGTGGTCAGTTTGGTGGTCACTTTGTGGTCAGTTTGGTGGTCAGTTTGTGGGTCCCTGAGGTGGTCAGTTTGGTGGTCAGTTTGTGGTCAGTTTGTGTGCAGTTTGGTGGTCAGTTTGGTGGTCAGTTTGGTGGTCAGTTTGGTGGTCACTTTGTGGTCAGTTTGGTGGTCAGTTTGGTGGTCAGTTTGTGGTCAGTTTGGTGGTCAGTTTGGTGGTCAGTTTGGTGGTCAGTTTGGTGGTCAGTTTGTGGTCAGTTTGGTGGTCAGTTTGGTGGTCAGTTTGGTGGTCACTTTGTGGTCAGTTTGGTGGTCAGTTTGGTGGTCACTTTGTGGTCAGTTTGGTGGTCAGTTTGGAGGTCAGTTTGGTGGTCAGTTTGGTGGTCACTTTGTGGTCAGTTTGGTGGTCAGTTTGGTGGTCACTTTGTGGTCAGTTTGGTGGTCAGTTTGGAGGTCAGTTTGTGGTCACTTTGTGGTCAGTTTGGAGGTCAGTTTGTGGTCACTTTGTGGTCAGTTTGGAGGTCAGTTTGTGGTCAGTTTGGAGGTCAGTTTGGTGGTCAGTTTGGTGGTCACTTTGTGGTCAGTTTGGAGGTCACTTTGTGGTCAGTTTGGTGGTCAGTTTGGTGGTCAGTTTGTGGTCAGTTTGTGGTCAGTTTGGTGGTCAGTTTGGAGGTCAGTTTGGTGGTCAGTTTGTGGTCAGTTTGGTGGTCAGTTTGGTGGTCAGTTTGGTGGTCAGTTTGGTGGTCACTTTGTGGTCAGTTTGGTGGTCAGTTTGGTGGTCAGTTTGGTGGTCACTTTGTGGTCAGTTTGGTGGTCACTTTGTGGTCAGTTTGGTGGTCAGTTTGGAGGTCAGTTTGGTGGTCAGTTTGGTGGTCACTTTGTGGTCAGTTTGGTGGTCAGTTTGGTGGTCACTTTGTGGTCAGTTTGGTGGTCAGTTTGGAGGTCAGTTTGTGGTCACTTTGTGGTCAGTTTGGAGGTCAGTTTGTGGTCACTTTGTGGTCAGTTTGGAGGTCAGTTTGTGGTCAGTTTGGAGGTCAGTTTGGTGGTCAGTTTGGTGGTCACTTTGTGGTCAGTTTGGTGGTCACTTTGTGGTCAGTTTGGAGGTCACTTTGTGGTCAGTTTGGTGGTCAGTTTGGTGGTCACTTTGTTGGTCAGTTTTGTCGTCAGTTTGGTGGTCAGTTTGGTGGTCAGTTTGGAGGTCACTTTGTGGTCAGTTTGTGGTCAGTTTGGTGGTCAGTTTGGTGGTCAGTTTGGTGGTCACTTTGTGGTCAGTTTGGAGGTCACTTTGTGGTCAGTTTGGTGGTCAGTTTGGTGGTCACTTTGTTGGTCAGTTTTGTCGTCAGTTTGGTGGTCAGTTTGGTGGTCAGTTTGTGGAATTTTTCGCTGGCATTTTTGGAGTAAAAGTTTGGCTGGGCAAATTTGAGGGCAGTTTTTTTTCTCATCCTTCCCACCCACTCCTCCCCACCCCTCCCCACCACCACCACCACCCACCACCACCCACCACCACCCACCACCACCCACCACCACCACCACTCACGCAGGCACTGCCGCGCTGAGGAACACACGAAAAGGAGCGTGGTACATCCAGGCGCTGGTGGAGGTGGTTCGCGAGCAGGCCAGGGACACGCACTTCGCCGACATGCTCGTCAAGGTTCGGGTGAAGGGTCACGGCCACGCACGAGAGACAGAGAGAGAGACCCACAGACTCACTCACACAGAGACCCATAGACTCACCACACAGAGACCCACCACACAGAGACTCACAGACTCACCACACAGAGACCCACAAACTCACCACACAGAGACCCACAGACTCACCACACAGAGACCCACAAACTCACCACACAGAGACCCACAGACTCACTCACACACTCACATAGAGGCCCACAGACTCACTACACAGAGACCCACAGACTCATCACACAGAGACCCACCACACAGAGACTCACAGACTCACCACACAGAGACCCACAAACTCACCACACAGAGACCCACAGACTCACCACACAGAGACCCACAGACTCACCACACAGAGACCCACAGACTCACCACACAGAGACCCATAGACTCATCGCTCGCACAGAGACCCAAAGACTCATCACACAGAGACCCACAGACTCACCACACAGAGACCCATAGACTCACTCACACAGAGACCCACAGACTCACCACACAGAGACCCACAGACTCGCCACACAGAGACTCACTTACTCACCACACAGAGACCCACAGACTCACCACACAGAGACCCATAGACTCATCGCTCGCACAGAGACCCAAAGACTCATCACACAGAGACCCACAGACTCACCACACAGAGACCCACAGACTCATCGCTCGCACAGAGACCCACAGACTCGCCACACAGAGACTCACAGACTCACCACACAGAAACCCACAGACTCATTACACAGAGACTCACAGACTCATCACACAGAGACCCACAGACTCATCGCTCGCACAGAGACCCATAGACTCACCACACAGAGACCCACAGACTCACCACACAGAGACCCATAGACTCACCACACAGAGACGCACAGACTCACCACACAGAGACCCACAGACTCACCACACAGAGACCCACAGACTCACCACACAGAGACCCACAGACTCACCACGCAGAGACCCACAGACTCACCACACAGAGACCCACAGACTCATCGCTCGCACAGAGACTCACAGACTCACCACACAGAGACTCACAGACTCACCACACAGAGACCCACAGACTCACCACACAGAGACCCATAGACTCACCACATAGAGACCCACAGACTCATCACACAGAGACCCACAGACTCACCACACAGAGACCCACAGACTCACCACACAGAGACCCACAGACTCACCACACAGAGACCCACAGACTCATCACACAGAGACCCACAGACTCACCACACAGAGACCCATAGACTCACCACACAGAGACCCAGAGACTCATCACACAGAGACTCACAGACTCACCACACAGAGACCCACAGACTCACCACACAGAGACCCACAGACTCACCACACAGAGACCCACAGACTCACCACATAGAGACCCACAGACTCACCACACAGAGACCCACAGACTCACTACACAGAGACCCAGAGACTCATCACACAGAGACCCACAGACTCATCACACAGAGACCCATAGGCTCACCACACAGAGACTCACAGACTCACTCACACAGAGACCCACAGACTCACTCACACAGAGACCCACAGGCTCACCGCACAGAGACCCACAGACTCACCACATAGAGACCCACAGACTCACCACACAGAGACCCACAGACTCACCACACAGAGACCCACAGACTCACCACACAGAGACCCAGAGACTCATCACACAGAGACCCACAGACTCATCACACAGAGACCCATAGGCTCACCACACAGAGACTCACAGACTCACTCACACAGAGACCCACAGACTCACTCACACAGAGACCCACAGGCTCACCACACAGAGACCCACAGGCTCATCACACAGAGACCCACAGACTCACCACACAGAGACCCACAGACTCACCACACAGAGACCCATAGACTCATCACTCGCACAGAGAGAAAGATGGAGAGAGAGACCCATAGACTCACCACACAGAGACCCACAGACTCACCACACAGAGACCCACAAACTCACCACACAGAGACCCACAGACTCATCACACAGAGACCCACAGACTCACCACACAGAGACCCACAGACTCACCACACAGAGACCCACAGACACACCACACAGAGACCCACAGACTCACCACACAGAGACCCACAGACTCACCACACAGAGACCCATAGACTCACCACACAGAGACCCACAGACTCACCACACAGAGACTCACAGACTCACCACACAGAGACCCACAGACTCACCACACAGAGACCCACAAACTCACCACACAGAGACCCACAGACTCATCACACAGAGACCCACAGACTCACCACACAGAGACCCACAGACTCACCACACAGAGACCCATAGACTCACCACACAGAGACCCATAGACTCACCACACAGAGACCCACAGACTCACCACACAGAGACCCACAGACTCACCACACAGAGACCCATAGACTCACCACACAGAGACCCATAGACTCACCACACAGAGACCCATAGACTCACCACACAGAGACCCACAGACTCACCACACAGAGCCCCACAGACTCACCACACAGAGACCCATAGACTCACCACACAGAGACCCACAGACTCACCACACAGAGACCCACAGACTCACCACACAGAGACTCACAGACTCACCACACAGAGACCCATAGACTCACCACACAGAGACCCACAGACTCATCACACAGTAACCCACAGACTCACCACACAGAGACCCACAGACTCATCACACAGAGACCCACAGACTCACCACACAGAGACCCACAGACTCATCACACAGAGACCCACAGACTCATCACACAGAGATCCATAGACTCATCACACAGAGACCCACAGACTCACCACACAGAGACTCACAGACTCACCACACAGAGACCCACAGACTCACCACACAGAGACCCACAGACTCACCACACAGAGACCCATAGACTCACCACACAGAGACCCATAGACTCATCACACAGAGACTCACAGACTCACCACACAGAGACCCATAGACTCATCACACAGAGACCCATAGACTCACCACACAGAGACCCACAGACTCAACACACAGAGACCCACAGACTCACCACACAGAGACACACAGACTCACCACACAGAGACCCACAGACTAACCACACAGAGACCCACAGACTCACCACACAGAGACCCACAGACTCACCACACAGAGACCCACAGACTCACCACACAGAGACCCACAGACTCACCACACAGAGACCCACAGACTCACCACACAGAGACCCACAGATTCACCACACATAGACCCATAGACTCACCACACAGAGACCCATAGACTCATCACACAGAGACTCACAGACTCACCACACAGAGACCCATAGACTCATCAGACAGAGACCCATAGACTCACCACACAGAGACCCACAGACTCAACACACAGAGACCCACAGACTCACCACACAGAGACTCACAGACTCACCACACAGAGACCCACAGACTCACCACACAGAGACCCACAGACTCACCACACAGAGACCCACAGACTCACCACACAGAGACCCACAGACTCATCGCTCGAACAGAGACCCACAGACTCATCGCTCGCACAGAGACCCACAGACTCACCACACAGAGACCCACAGACTCACCACACAGAGACCCACAGACTCTCCACACAGAGACCCACAGACTCACCACACAGAGAGCCACAGACTCACCACACAGAGACCCACAGACTCACCACACAGAGACCCACAGACTCACCACACAGAGACCCAGAGACTCATCACACAGAGACCCACAGACTCACCACACAGAGACCCATAGACTCACCACACAGAGACCCACAGAGTCATCACACAGAGACCCACAGACTCATCACACAGAGACCCACATACTCACCACACAGAGACCCATAGACTCATCACTCGCACAGAGAGAAAGATGGAGAGAGAGACCCATAGACTCACCACACAGAGACCCACAGACTCACCACACAGAGACCCACAAACTCACCACACAGAGACCCACAGACTCATCACACAGAGACCCACAGACTCACCACACAGAGACCCACAGACTCACCACACAGAGACCCACAGACTCACCACACAGAGACCCACAGACTCACCACACAGAGACCCACAGACTCACCACACAGAGACCCACAGACTCATCACACAGAGACCCACAGACACACCACACAGAGACCCACAGACTCACCACACAGAGACCCATAGACTCACCACACAGAGACCCACAGACTCATCACACAGAGACCCACAGACTCACCACACAGAGACCCACAGACTCACCGCACAGAGACCCACAGACTCACCACACAGAGACCCACAGACTCACCACACAGAGACCCATAGACTCATCACATAGAAACCCACAGACTCACCACACAGAGACCCACAGACTCACCACACAGAGACCCACAGACTCACCACACAGAGACCCAGAGACTCATCACACAGAGACCCACAGACTCATCACACAGAGACCCACAGACTCACTCACACAGAGACCCACAGACTCACCACACAGAGACCCACAGACTCACCACACAGAGACCCACAGACTCATCACACAGAGACCCACAGACTCACCACACAGAGACTCACAGACTCACTCACACAGAGACCCACAGACTCACCACACAGAGACCCACAGGCTCACCACACAGAGACCCACAAACTCACCACACAGAGACCCACAGACTCATCACACAGAGACCCACAGACTCACCACACAGAGACCCACAGACTCACCACACACAGACCCACAGACTCACCACACAGAGACCCACAGACTCACCACACAGAGACCCATAGACTCATCACATAGAGACCCACAGACTCACCACTCAGAGACCCACAGACTCACCACGCAGAGACCCACAGACTCACCACACAGAGACCCATAGACTCACCACACAGAGACCCATAGACTCACCACACAGAGACCCACAGACTCACCACACAGAGCCCCACAGACTCACCACGCAGAGTCCCACAGACTCACCACACAGAGACCCATAGACTCACCATACAGAGACCCAC